ACAAGAAGCTCGAGATTCTGAAGATGCTGGATCAGAAGGTGTCTCACGCACAGATTGCAGACCGCTTCAAGTGCTCGCTTCGGTTTATTGGGACCGTGAAGGCTGGCCGGCAGAAGGTGGAAACAGCAACTGCTGCAGGCTGCGGCAGCCAGAAAACTACACGCAAAGGAGATTTTCCGGAGGTGCGCTACATGCAATGCTGTCACGTTGGGTTATTTCCCCCGCCATCGTTTTTTGGCGGCAGGTGGATGAGATAGCTCTTGATCTACTCGACAAAGCCCGGCAGGCCAAGATACCCGTCACACGCGATGTCCTTCGAAGCTTCGGCCTTTCTGCCAGGGCAACCCTGCTGGCTGACACCGCAACTTCTCCAGCAGTAAGGGAGAGGGTGGAGGACTTCAAGGCCGGCGAGAGGTGGGCGAAGAACTNGAGAGGTGGACGAAGAACTTCGTGAAGCGGAACAAGATCCAGAGCGTGAGACTTCATGGCGAGGCTGGTAGCGTCGACAAGGAGGCCATCAAGGAGGGCATGGAGGAAATCAGGGCCCTTTGCGAGAAGTACCCGGCTAGGTTCATCTTCAACGTCGACGAGACAGGCCTCCAGTGGAAGCTCATGCCCAGGCGCACGCACCTTTCCACCTCGGAGGATCGGAAGACGGCGCGGGGCTCGAAGAGCATGCACTTCAAGGACCGATTGTCTGCCATCATGTGCTGCAATGCCGACGGCACTGCGAAGGTTGACATGGCCATCATCGGGAGGGCAAAGGAACCCCGCTGCTTCAAGAACGGGGGTTCACCTCTGAAGTACTTCTCGAAGACCAACGTGTGGTCCGACTCCGCGACGTTCCTCAAGTGGTGGCTCGAAGCCTTCCTCCCGTTCGTTCGGCGCTTCACTCACGAACCTGTGCTGCTGCTGNGGGAGGATGTGGCGGGCGGCTCCACGGCAATTGCGGCAGCGTGTTTGTCAAGACCTACCCTCCGCTGTGCACCGCCGTACACCAACCCATGGATTTGGGGGTCATCGCCAAGACGAAGGTCAACTACAGGAAGGAGCTGCTCGATGTGAAGACATCAACCATGTTGGTGGCTGATACACTTCGCGCCCAGGCCAAAGCCCGCAAGGTGAAGGCCGGGACAATGGGGCTAGCGCAAGGGCACCAACCTCACGTGCGGGACGCCGCTGAACTTCTCCAGAAAGCATGGGCCAGCGTCATCGCCCAAGACATCGCCAGGTAAGGTTTGAACATGTGATATCGCTGTTTTAAATGTGTAGCTCGCGCAAGTGCGCATGGCTTTGGTGGTACGTTGCGTGGGTAAGGTTGTACGGATAGGTTTTATTTTTCGACTGAATATTCCCGCAGCCGCAAATCTCCTTGCTTATTTGCTACAAAAAGGCCCTCTCTCGCATCCCTATGAGTCATTGTTTGTCACTGGGTTCGTCTAACATCGCTTCTCCACCCAAACACGGATGCATCACAATTTCTGCGCTACCTGGCCAGGTGCTTTGTCAAAGCCGAGACGCTTCCGGAGGAGATGGCGGCTGAGCTCACCAAGCAACACGGAAAGACCCGGTTCAACGTCGCCGAGCCTGACCTGAAGGCTCTCGCAGAGACTGTCAACACGTTGAGCACGAGCGTGCAGGACGCGCAGAAGCAGGGATCCCGCGTCGTGGACGAGGAGATCAGCGAACTGTTGGCAGAACTCAACATCGAACCCGGAAAGCCGGTCGCGGGGGAAGCGGTGGCCGCGATTCAGGGGTGGGCTACCATCGAGGACGACGAGGAGGTGGTAGAGGCTCTTCGATTGGACGCGGTGGAAGACATGACAGCACTGCTGGCTGGAACGAACTTGTCTACCGGCGGCGACGACGAGGAGGACGAACAAGACGAGGGCGGCGGCGGTGAGAACACGGGGCGCGAGCGCCGTGCCCCACGTGCGCCACCGGGTTATTAAGAACTGTCGTCTCACCTCGGCGCCCTGGAAGTGGCAGCAGAGGACAGTGGCAACAGAGACGCGGCGTTCTACCTAACGAAAGCGAAGATGTCGATGATTGCAGCNAAGACGAGGGCGGCGGCGGTGAGAACACGGGGCGCGAGCGCCGTGCCCCACGTGCGCCACCGGGTTATTAAGAACTGTCGTCTCACCTCGGCGCCCTGGAAGTGGCAGCAGAGGACAGTGGCAACAGAGACGCGGCGTTCTACCTAACGAAAGCGAAGATGTCGATGATTGCAGCGCATTCCGCTAGGCGGGTGCGCCAGACAGACATTAGAGGATTTGTCGCGACGTAGAGTTCATGGTTGTTTCTTTTTCTAGCGGTTCGCTTCCTGTCGTGTACTTGTAGTTTTTATTTTTTCTTGCAACATCGAAGCGGGTTCGCCAGGCAGACACTCCAGTGTCGCGACGTAGTTTGGGGGGGATATACAACTACTGTAGTGCAGTAGTATTGATTTTTGTTTTCTTGCAGTGCGCTTCCTGTCGTGTTTGTTTTCTGGTTTGTCTTTTGTATCTTGCAACATCGAAGGAGGGGCTCTAGGGCTGAGATATAGCTACGTCCACTCTCTACGAACGGGAGCTTTACAAGCATCTTGCCGTCAACAGCAGTTTCGACAGTTCAGGGTGTGCAGTACACTTCATGTGCTGAGTCAGGCAGAAAATAACGGTGCAACATGCAAGTAAATATATTTTACAACTTGCCCTCTGTGTGTGCGACAGGGGGGAACCACTCTTGTCGCGAGAAAGGATGCCTACGCCCACGATAGACCTTCACCAAGTTTGATCCATTTCGTACTCTGTTAGCCCCGCAACGCATGAGCGCCACAGCATGAAATCAAACATCTCCTCAATAATGCCGGACCGGCACTATTGAGGAATATTCGAAACCTCAATAGTGCCGAATCGGCACTATTGAGGCACTATTCTAATTAGTGCCGGTGCCCTCAATAGTGCCGATATTTTCTCTGGGCACATACCGGCACTATTGCGGGCCCAGTACTGTAGAATTTTTGTGCATCGTCTGGCGGAACTCTCACGTTTCGGTAAGCGTTGTTCACGTCCGCCGTGGACGCTAGTATCCTCTTGTCAGGCCATTTGACTCTCAAGCGCGTTAGTTCAGAAAGGAAAGCAGGTAGAGTCTCTCCACACAAACAGTCAGGTACTTCTTCCGTTACCGTATCGACGTTGACTCCTCCCTTCTGTCCGCGCAGCAGCTTGGGGTCGAAAGAAAAATCGTTGATGATTCTGATTTTGTTCCTACCACTGCTCCTAGCGGCGATACGCGAACGCCCTTCATGCAAGTTGCGTCCGCTACGTTGAATACGAGGCATCTGTTCTGTTCGACGTCGTCTATCAGCTTCTTCCACACCAGTTTCGTGTGGGCGTCTATGGTACTGTGATTTCCGTATCGCAGATCGCTCTCGAGGTTTGGCGGGCTGTCGTGCGTTTTCGCTGGCACACCGTTGACTACGATGTCTACGAGATTCGGTAAGTCTGGGAAGCGTTTTTTGGTTCCGAAGTGTTGTTCGAGGTCGCTCAGGTTTAGCGGCGGTGACACCAAGGTGCCGCCGATTGCCCTCGCGACATCTGCCAACTTTCCGTCGTTCGTTTTCAGAAGCATGCTACCAGTCTTCGCAAGTTCGTCAATGATTTCATGTTTTTCGTCAACTCGTGTGCCACGTGCGAGGCATTCGTTTTGTTCTCTCCACATTTCAGCCAGTAGCTTCCCATAAGGAGGTGGCAAGGCTGCCGACCCGTCGCTATCTGTGTCCCTCTTGCCGTAGGGGTCTTTGTCTCCAATACAAGTATGGTGTCGAGCACTCTTGCGATCTTCTCCCTCGTGCGAGGGGTCCGTTTCTCCCTTGTTACAGGGGTCTTCTCTAGTGTTCCCACTAGGTCCTTCTCTGTCTTTGTCTCCAATACAAGTATGGTGTCGAGCACTCTTGCGATCTTCTCCCTCGTGCGAGGGGTCCGTTTCTCCCTTGTTACAGGGGTCTTCTCTAGTGTTCCCACTAGGTCCTTCTCTGTCTTTGTCTCCAATACACGTATTGGGTCTAGCACTCTTGCGATCTCCTCCCTGGTACGAGGGGTTTGCTTCTCCCGTGTTACGGGGGTCTTCTCCAGCGTTCACGCCCGGTCTATTCTCTTCTCCCGTGTTACGGGGGTCTTTTTCTCTCACTTGTTCAAGTCTAGCACACGGTTGTCCTCCTTGGTTAGAGGGATCCATTAGCGCTGGTTCTGCAGTAATTTCATGTTCATCACTACTGGTGCGTGAATTACTTTGGCTGGTACTTCAAAGAGTACACGGTTGTTCTACTCCTTGGTGAGATTGGTCTATCAACTCTGGCTCTGCGGAAATTTCATGTTTCTCACTATTGGTACTTGATTTACTCGGGCGGGTGCTTCTTCTCTCACCGTAGAACACGTTGGTGCCACCAACCCGTGAGGAGGCGCTTCACTTAAGCGCCACGGTCCTACTCCTGTCTACAAAAGCTGCTACCGTGGTGTCACCCGCCCCCCTCAGCCGCGTTGGCCCCACCTCTTGATGAGGCCCGTATTGTCAGGAGTTGGTCCCTGCTGCTCCGTGTGGCCTGTAGTTGTTGCTGTAACGGGCGACCACGGGGCGTGATGCGGCGAGGGCGGGGGCGGGGGCGGGGGCAGGAGCAAGGGCGGTCGCGGGGGCGGGGACCCGGGCTGGCGCTGTGGGCGGCGGACCGGGCGGCGGACCGGGGGGGGCGACGCTGGGGTGAACCTGTACGTGGTTGAGGGTGTAGTGCGGGCGGGTGCACTTTTGCCTTTTCCAGTGGGAGTGACACGCGCGGTGGGGGGTTCCCCACGTGAGGAGGTCCTGCTGGAACGAGGTCAGTGTCGCCACCGCGTGTTGGTTGGCGACGGGTGCGGCGGTTGTCCGCAGGCGGGATGCTGTATGTCTGCTCGTGGCGCTGCACGCTGACGCTTTCCTCTTCTGTGGCTGCGGGAGCCCGGCCAGGCTGTTGTTAAGCTTTCCGACGATGGCGTTGGCGCTGCCTTCCGTGGTGAGACCGCGCAGCCGCGAAAACGCAGGGGGGGGGGACGGGTTGCACGTCGTCATCTGCCGGCGGGGAGATGTCGTGGTCGGCGCGAGTCGCGACGCCAAGGTCTGAGATGTTCCCGAGATACTCGTTGATGTCGGTGTTGGTGTCGGTGATCAGGCGCGTCTTCACCGCTGCTTCTTGACCCGTGGTCTCCGCCGAATGAAGGCTGAGGTAGTCCCGCGCGTTGGACACAATGCGGCTGACTTCGGCTTTCAACTGTTGCCTGCAACCGGTCGATGGTTCGCCGGCGGCGTGTGTGCCATGGTCCAACACGGCGAAGAATGCTTTCACGAATGCCTCGAGGTAAACGATGAAGTCGCGTGGCTGCGGGCTCCACCCCGTAGGGTGGGGAGAACTTGGCGATGTCGACGTTGGCGAGGGTCATCAGCGAATCGATCATTTCGGCGTCGGGATAGGCCACTTTGCGCAGCAGCTGGGCAATTGCGTTCTTTGACAGCGTGGTGCTAACGAACCATCCGCCGCGCAGCAGAAGCAGCGTCGCCGCGGACTCGTCTCCTCATGCCTTCGTATCGCGGCGAAACCTTTCTTGCTGTACGTGAGTGTTGAGGGCCTGGTTCGACACGTTAATGTTTTGGCCCAGAGCTTGCGCTTGCTGGGGCTGTAGCACGAGCTGGCCACCTAGAGGGAGATTGATGGGCTGGGGCTGACCTTGCTGCTGGAGGCCGCCAGGGGGGAGGTGGCCAGGCTGCTGTTGCTGTTGCTGGTGCTGGTGCTGGTCCTGCGGGTGCTGCTGCTGCTGCATCCCGAGCTCCAGGTTGCCGAGTCGGTCGTTTTGATCTTTTAGCAGTGCAGACATCTGCAGCAGTAGCTGGACAGGGTTGACGGGGGAAGGTGGGCCTCCCAGCCCGGCAGCCGCGGCTCCGCCCGCGTTCTGGTCTCCTCCTCCTGCTGCCAGAGGCGCGTTGTTGTGTCCCGCCGCCTGTTGGTTTCCCGCCGCCCCTGCTGGCTGGTTCCCCGCTGCTGTTGCCTGTCCGCCACCATGGGGAGCTGCCGCTACTGCTCCTGCTCCACCGCCGCTGCTCTGTTGTTGGTTGGCTGCGGGCGGTGGTCCACCGGGAGGCGGCGGTGGAGGCGGTGGAGGTTGCGCTGGCTGCGCTGGCTGCGCTGGCTGCGCTGGCTGCGCTGGCTGCG